AAAAAATGTTTTATATAAAATTATATAAAGTTATATATATTTATTCTATATAATTTTATATAACTATAAAACATTTTTTCTCGAGTTATCATTGTGTGTAAAATTGTATTATTTTATTTTTGTTCACTCATAGATGAAAAAAAACACGAGCGTATACATCAAGCAATAAATGAATTTAAACATGTATACATGTATAGAAATTAAAGATAGAATAATGAAGATAACTATGTCAAAATCAGTAGCGATTATTCTGGATGCTGAAGCGAGATTGGCAGAAAAGGCGGTGAACAAAAAATGAATTTGCAGATTCCTGAATGTTTAGGAAAGGATGTTATCATGCATCAGATTATGCACACCGCTGGCTTTTCTCACGAGCACACTAGACCAGACCGAGATAATTATGTAGAAATCAATTGGAAAAATATTCAAGAAGGTATTTATTCAAATAACAAAAGTGTAAAAGGATTAATTTTTTTAAATAAAAGTATTTTAATTTAACCGGAAAGAGACTGTCCCCATCTGATTTTAATGAGCTTTTGTATGTTATTTTCCAGAGAAAATTTTTCTTTTAGAAAAAAATCAGTTTTTCTCTTTCGAAGCGAATATCGCTGGAACTGTAAGAGATAGAAAAAAATTTTCAAAATGAAGCTTGAATGAATTCAAGAGTACTTTAGAACTATAATAAAAAAATTTTTAAGGGTAATTATAATTTAAAAAATCTAAAGAGTGTTTTATCCCCTAAAAATGCGTATGGATACGTATAAAAAAATACGTGTTACTTATTTTTGTCTGGAAAATAACATAAAACTCAAAAGCTCATTAAAATCGGAGGAGGACAATTGAGTCCCTTTTCTGTAAGTATATATTCTTAATGCAGCTATAACTTTGTAATTAATTTATCGTTTAAAATATCTAGATAATTTTCAAGTCGCTATATTTTATTTATATACATCTATATTTTTATTTATATACATCTATAGTTATATATCGCTTCATGAAAACCTTCTTTTTATTCAATAATTATTAATGTTTTAACATTAAACTTCTTGTGTAAAAATAACCTTATTTATAATAAATGCTTGTAATAATTGATTGAAATTATTTTGTTGATTTATGTTATGAGTTTTTTTTACCGTATGTATTATGCATTGGCATTTTCAGATGCCAAAAAGAACTTCAAAAAAGCTGAACTGAAGTGGAGTGATTTTGACATTCCTTATGATTATGACAGCATAATGCATTCTTCAGTATACGCGGGTGCCGTACACGATCACGTAAAAACTATTATCCCCTTAAAAATAAGTATTAGTTTTATAAACATTTTATTATGACTAGCATATGTCTGTCGTTAATTCCATTATCGAAATACTTTAATTATTAGATTAGAAAGAACAAAAAGTCGTAGAAAGATTTTTTAAAAATAATTTTGTAAGGAAAACTTCAAGTTTTCACGATAGATAGTCGAAAATGTCATAATTTTTTTGACACATGGTAGTGGACATAAGAAGAAGATTTTTCCCTTTTTTAAACACATAATTCTTTTTAGTAAAAATTATCAAATTCACATAAAATAAACTCAAAAATTATAATAACCTTTTGAAACGAAAGATTTCAAGCTTTTAAATCCTTTTTTAAATTTAAATTTTGTTCATTTTTGACAAAGACATTGTATATATAATTTCGAGCTAAAAATACAGAACTTGTAAACAATCTTATTACAATATTATGTATAAATAAAAGTAATTTTTGTAGTTACATTAAGATTATTGTTGAATATTTTCAGGATCCAAACGTAAAAATCGGCCAGAGAGAGCGTCTCAATGTCTTGGACGTTATGAAGATAAATGTAATGTATAATTGCTCATCGGAGTCACACAATCAAGTTATGTAGAAATCATCCTGGAATATTAAAATAATTCTCATTAATTTTGCGATGCTGAAAATGCATAAATAAAAAATTAATCTTAGCTAATTTTCATGATATACTAACCGTAAGTTTGAAAAATTTGAGTTTAATATAAAAATTAAATGATATCACTGTTCAACACCATTATAGAATATAAGTATGAACATTTTCGATGTATTTTGCCTGCTAAATGTGAATTCGTTGTCCAAATTTGATGTTACATCACAATTTTGAGAAAAGAGATCAAAGAGATATAAAGAATGATGATTTTGATGGTTTTCATGACATGATAGCACCGGCAGCAAATTTTATTTCTAAATTTTTTATATTACGCGAAAGTATTAATATTTTAGATTTAAAAAGCATTTTGGTTGATTTCGATATCATTTTTCGAAATATATTAATTTGAATATAATTCTCTCTTTTCTCATGTAATAATAATGTAATAATATAATAATAATGCATGTATCACATAGAGAAAGAGCTATATTTTCAAATTAACATATCTCGAAAACAAAAAATGATATTGCAACGAACAGAAATGCATTGTAAAGCTAAAAGTTGCGTACCTTTGCGTGATAAATTTAGAAATAAAATTTATTATCGACGCTACAATGTCATAAAAATCTTTAACATTGTAAAGTTTGACCTATCTTTGACCAATTTTTCTTAAAAATGCGAACTAATAATCAAATTTAAGTAACGGATTCGTATTCAGTAGGCATAAATATATAGGAAAACTATTTACATTCGCGATATCAAAGAAAGTTAAACTTTGTTACCTAACATATAACATATGTTATTATGTTATAATTAGCATTTATATATATAATATATTTATAAATTACTATCAATAAATAAAAATTAAATGAATATTGTTTCGTGAACATTATTTACATTATCAAGGCAAGAAGCAACTTATATACATTAATCTTAAAGTTACATATAAATACACAAATATATTCTTTATGGAACTTTACTTATTAAACATTTCTTTTATCGAAACTTTTTTAATCCATATATTCCTTGTTAATCGGCTATGTTGTATTGATTGACTCTAGAAATTTTTTAAATTAAAAGGAATATATAAACATTTTTATTTAAAAGGAAATTGTATTCTGAATTGATGATATATTTCAAAGAAGATTTGAGATATCTCGCGAAAATATTTTTTATTTGTACATCATTACGAGTGATTCATAGAATACACCGCGGCAATGTATCTACTATTTACATTACAACGAAGTTTCTTATTCTATTTATTTTCGATGAAAATGCAGAGAAAGATCGCATTTGAAGATAATTTGCATACTAATTTAAAAAGTATACATTTGCCGGAAAATTATTATTATGAAACGAACTTAAATACATCGATACATCAAATATGTATAAAGTAAATTCTGAATTGTCATGCAATTAAGAAAAAAATGTAACATGATTTTTCAGTAAAGTTATAAAATGTTGCTAATAAATTTGATAGTTCTTCAAATTAGTTATACATGTATATATATTACTTATATACATATAAACAAATACATTTTTTAAATGGAATTCCACATAATATTTCTAACTAATTAATTGATAATCAATTTTGTAAAAAAAGGATACAAACCTGTATTAAAATGTCTATTTCTTATCTTATGCGATAGGAGATTCGAAGTAACACAATACTCCCCAAAATAGTATACATATGTGCACGCA